TTTAAAAAAATTTTCAACTTAAACTCTCCCTGTCCCCGACAATAGTTACCCTTCTTAAATTTATCGTCTCCTTCGCACAAAACTCCTGTTCTCCCTCAAGCGTTTTCAAACTTCCTTCCCGTTCGAAAACTCAATGCATGTTCGAAATCTAGTCAAAGTTGTACAATGCTTGTTGTCTCTGGCCCACCATTCTCAACTCACTGCACTTCCACACAATGGTTTAGAAAATCAAACGAATTTAGTTCAAATTTTTTCCAATTGGTTCCACAATCTTCTCAAAAAAAAAAAAAAAAAAAAAAAAACACGAACGTAACAGTATATGAAGGCGTGACAATCTCCTCCAAACAATTTCCTAAATCAAGGGTCTTTTAAAACGTGTACCATATATTAGACCCAACAGTTTCTGACACGACACGACACGATACGAAAATAATGGGTTTGGGGTCAACATGATAACTAATCGGGTCATTATTGGGTGACCCATTAAGAACCCATTAATGTTATTACGGGTATACATGCGGGTAACACATGAGTAACCTGTTAAGAAAAAAATTATTTTGATAATTTTAAAGTTTAATTACTAAAAGAATTATTATAAAATACAATAGCCATATTAATATATACAATATATTCTATATTAAATATATAGTTTTGTATTATTATTCTATATAAGTTATAAAAAAAAGTTGTATTCATTATTTATTTTTATTATAAGAGTTCCTTATTATCATTACTAAGATAAATTTTACTTAACATGTTGTTGTCCACAAATAAAATAAACTAGTATAGTATTTGTATAGGCAAGACTTAAGAAGACATACATACAAGTATGAAAAATGTGAAAGAATATATAAACATTCGTGATTCATCATTATGCTTCCACGAGTAAATAATGGATACACTTACATTATTGTTTAGATTTTTAAAATCCTCAAAACCCTCATGAATAATGTTTTTTATTTGAGGGAAAAATTAATAATAATTATTGTAGAAGTGTAAAAAATGTAAAAAAAAAAAATATACAATCATTCATAGTGACACACCCTGACCGAGGTCAAGGCATGCTGGTCGTCGCGTGAGAGTGACGTAGTCATGTGCACAGTGCGGAAGCGATAAAGATAGAAAATATACAAATAATTAAAAACCATAGCACTACTAAACAAAAGTGATAGGAGTTAGTTACAACAGTGAACACTCCTAATCAGAGCATAAGGTCTAGGTGCAGTCCAGTAGGACAAGTACTAGTTATATAGTACCAGGAATGTCCTACTATTATTCAAATAGGTCGGAATTGCCGACAATCCTGAGCCACCGACAACAAGCTTACTTAAAACCTGGAGGGGTGCAAAACAGAAAATGTGAGTGGGCAAAAACAAATGTTTTACAAAATCATTTCATTTATCAATATACTAACCCCTCGCTGTAAAAACATGTATAATCTTCCCAGAATCAAGATATAAGTATATACATATATATATATATATATATATATATACACACATATAAATTAATTCATATCAATTCAATTCATACTTCGCATAATTATATTCATATGTATGCCATGCCAAAATATAACCAAGTAAACAATCCAGATAAGAATGATTTCGTAGAAATATGATATGTTAGTCAGAACCCCTGAGGTGGTCTGTACAACTGAATTCATGGCTCAAAATCAATCTAGCCGGAGTCATTACAATGACCTATACGACAATATACTGCACATAAGTTGGAACCACTAAAGAGGGTTTGTACGACAAGATTGGGTGAAATATAATTATGCTCAACTCTATTCTTTCATAATAGCCGGGCGATGAATCGCTAGTCACCCACGAGTTGGAATCATGAATAAGGTCTGTACGACAAGACTGTGCACTTAAGTTGGATCCAATATGAGCATATAGTGCGGGAGGTGACGTAAATAAACAGGCCTGTAACTTATATCTCTGGCTAATTCACAATCACCTAGCTGCAACTTTATGAGCTCAATATTACTTAATCACATATCACATATCATATCATCGATGATTCACACAACCAAACATAACTTACCTGAACTCACCTATGCCTCTGCAACACCACATTTATATATATATATATATATGCAACCATGTAATGCATATTCAAATATAGAAGCATTTGGCATATTATTTCAAAGCATACTTTCCTTAAAAAAAATGCATTTCTGGGAAATATATCAAGTATATAAATATATATTGAAAACAAAAGCCCACTCACTGATATGTCGAAGGGTCGTAACCCTCGAGTCGCCCTTGGATACGCTCGTCCTTGGGATAAGTCTCACCTATATGCGAATTAACTATAAAAACGTTATTTTTAAAGCATATAGGCAAACTAGCTAATAACTTCTCATACATTGCTCAATTTGGGTATATAAATATACCACATTGATCTACACAACTCCACGGACCTACCCAAAATTTCAAAATAATTTTCTAACCCCGCACGTGCCGTCCAAGGCACGGCAATACGCGCGACCACGCGCAGGGGATCCTGACGGATCCTTCAACGACGTCAGGAATATTCCTCGGAATATTCTGTTAAATCCTAACGATAACCGTCAATCATAAATGACGGCATGAGAATATTTCATCATACTTGACGGAATATTCCTTCACCTCCTACCTCTAGCTCCGGCGACCATCGCCGGAGCCGGAAACTGGGCAAAACTTTAAACTCACTATTCTCCTTTGTTTCTTCACCATTTTTCATGAAATTTGAACCAAATGAAAGCTTAGAGTGAGAAGAATGGCGTTATACCTATTTGGAGCTTCAAATCTCATGAAATCACGTCGGGGAAGCTTCGAAATTCTGATTAAACTTGCAACTCTTCATTTCCCGCGATCTCGACGTCCAAATTCTTCAAATGAACTACCCCGAGACTCGTGAGGACCTCATTAAGCCTTCTATGTGCTTAGAATTCCCTGAAATGCAAGGTTTTACGTGTGCATGAACATTGGACAAAATTGGGGTTAGTGTTTCTCGGGTTTCCGACGCATTCCCATCCAAACAAGGGTATCAATAGACTCAAGAGGTTACAATGAACAAAGACCTTACCTTTAAAGCTTCGATCCATGCTCGAAGGCGAGCTTTGTGTCTTGTCCGTACGTAAGGGAAAGAGAAAGAGAGTGTCTGAGAGAGATGAAAGGATACGGGAGAGGAGAGAGTGAGTATTGTGTGTGTGAGTTCCACGTGATCACTAGCCAACCAAGGAAAAATATCAAGTCTCTAAAACAAGTCACACACACACACACACTACAGCTTTAACGTTCAAAGGTTAGAACCGTCATTTCGCACTGTCGGAAATCAATTATTCGGGACGTGCTGTGACACATAGTGACAAGCTTTACAACTTTCATGAATGGGTCAGATTCGAAATCCAATACTATAATCCATAAAACTTAAATTTATATTTAACCGTCAATTATCATTTACGCATTATTCTTCTTACTGAATTTCATTTTTAAAATTTTCTTTTTTGAAAACATGATCATCTGGTGGATGTAATAAGATGAACGGTTCAGATCTTTGATATCACGTTTCGATATTTACGGTTACCTGAAATATGAGTCGATGTCATATAGTTTGTAAAAACTTTATAAATATCAAGCAATATTTTCACTAACCGTAAAACTCTGAATATAATATCAACTATCTAGACCGTTCATCTTCCTGCATGCTTTAATAGATCATGTTTTCAAAAAATAAAATTTGAAAAAACAAAATTTGATGAGAACAATGAAGCGTAAATGTAAACAACAATCAAAGGTTAAATTTTGATCTATGATTTATATGATTATAGCGGCAAATTTCAAAGTTAAGCTCTTCATGAAAGTTGTAAAACTTGTCATTACGAGCGTTTATATATTGTTTTCTATATTTTTTACACTTCTACATTAATTAAAAAACTATTAAAGATTTTACTTAAATAACATTCGTAAGATAAATGAGAGTAAATATCTACCGTTGGATTCTATTTCACTTATATTATTAGAACTTTTTTGGATGAAAAAATCCCTTCTCTATTCCAATATTTTCTAATTTTACCATTTGATCAATTTAGGCAAGCTAAAATATACTTAAAAGAAAATTGTGTTTTTATGTTTTGGATGTGACAATATGATATATATATATATATATATACTTATTTAGTATTGTATTTTTCATTTGATTATTTATTGGTTTAAAATATATTTTCCTTAACGGGTAATGGATCGGGTCATATTACATGTTAATATTATTGGGTCGATTTTAGGTTAGGTCATTTTACCTGTTTATTTATACAGGTATTACACGATACGACCCGTTAAAATATCAAATATAACACGAAAACGATATGAACACTAAAAATACGACACGAATATCAGGTCTACCATAAATACACATTCATCCATTATGGCACAAAATCTCCATAAAGTTTCAAAAAAGTAACAAACTTAAACACTCCCCATCAATTACCATATTCACAAAATCACATCCCACATTTCTCACAACACAAAAATCCAATCTTTAGCCACCTTTTTCTGAGCACCGCTTCGAAATCCCATATACACCCTCATACTCTCCTCCTTTCCCCATTCAGTTATTCCGTAATTTCCTCAAACTTGAGTGGCAAGTCACTACCCTTCTTTCAAATATAATGTGATAAATTTTTTTTAATCAAATCACTAAAAGACATGAATGTTTGATCCACAAAATTCAAAACTGAAGTGCCTTACAATTTCCTATATCAAGGGTTTTTTAAAAGGAAAATTAATGAAAAGAGTTTGAAAATTTTGAATTTTAATGATAAGGATAAAATGAATAGTACTAGAATTAATTTTTTTAGTGTAAAAATATGATTTTTCGTTAAAATAAACAGTACTGAAGAATTTTCGTTAAAATTCTCTTTTTAAAAACGTGTACCATAAAGACACATCCATCCATTGTGGCACAAAATCTCCATAAAGTTCCAAACAATTACCATATTCACAAAATCACATCCCACATTTGTCACAACACAAAAATCCAATCTTTAGCCACCTTTTTCTGAGCACCGTTTCGAAATCCCAGATACACCCTCACACTCTCCTCCTTTCCTCAGTCAGTTACTCCGTAATTTCCTCCAACTTGAGTGGCAAGTCACTACCCCTCTTTCAAATACTCTCCCACCACACCACAGGCCCTCACCACAAACCCCTCCAGAACTCTTACCATTTTCCGAATTCCCCAATCGCCAATCCCTACTTTCAAGCTCTCCTCCTTTCTTACCCCGATTTTTGATCCCAAAAAAGAAAAAATTACCCAGAAAAAGCTCCAAGTTTTGCAAAAATGGAGGACTACATGCGCGGCTGCACGCGGAAGCTGGCGCTCTGGTACACCCGGACCTTCAAGCCCATCATGACCCACGACGAGCTCGAGCCGATCATGGCGACCCTCGGGTTCGTGGGGCTTCCCCCGTCTTCGTCGTCGTCGGCTGCGACGAAGGAGTACGTGTTCTCTGCAGCCGGAGGGTGGCGGAGCAAGTGGGCTCCCCCGACGGAGGTGCCGCTGCCGAGGCCGAGGCTGCCGTACCCGAGAATCGATGGGCTTCACATCTATACGTACCGGGCGTTTATTGACGCCGTTAACTGTTCCCTCGAGATGAGCGACATCTCCGATCTCTTCCATGTAAGGTGAGTGCGGTACCGTTTCTTTTGTTTACTCTTCCCCATTTTTCTATTTTAATTAATTAATTAATTGTATTTTATTTTATTTTCTCTTCATTTTTCGCTGGTTTTATTTTTGGTGAGTTTGTTTGTGTAGTGCATGAGTGTGTTACTTTTTGTTTGTGAGAGTTTGTGGATGAGTGACGTTGATAGATAGGATTTGGGGTGGTTTGTAATTTTTGAATTGACCAAGTCTCTTAATATAAATAGCTGAAAAATATATACAGTTATTCGAGTTATAGTGTGATAAAATTACGGATTCGACGTGAAGAATAAAATACGGCTTTATGTGGACTTGACCGGTAGCATAAGATAAATTTACACATGCGGGGATAAGAATAACAAAAAAATTGACCTAGTTAATCGTAATGTTATGCAACTAGCTTAATCTGGTTGTGTTTAGCTACTTGTTTAATCTTATCAAGTAATGCTGTTTTAGAATCTTAAATGACTGTTTGTGTTGTATCGCTGCTTTGATACGTATGTGAGTCTCTCTTGTTTCACTCCGATCGGTTGAGATGGTACAAAATGGTTTCTTTGATTGCTAATAAAAATTATAAAATGTGTGATTTTGGAATGTCTTTAATAAAGAGGAGTGCTAAAATTGCGCGTATTTGATTAATAATCATATTGATCAAATTAATACATGAGTAATAGGATGTGTTACTTGCACACGTCTTGTTTTTTTTTTTATTTTATACAAACGATGTTCTGGAAGGGTTTACAAGTCTTTTCTATATGTATGTACGTAACCTAAAAAAAAAAAAAAGTAAATTAAGAATTACTGTGATTTCTAGGTAGGTAGGGACCGAGCTGTTTTCTTTTCTAATTGAATAATTTAATTATAATGTCTGAAATAAACTGCAGATTATGGACTTAATTAATCTTCGCGAAGTCTATATTTGATGCATCCATCAGCTTTATATTGCTGCATCTTTGCAGAGTTGTTTCATAAAATGCAAGATAATGTATTTATTATGTTATCTGAAAAGTATAAACTTATTGAGCTTTTGATTCTACTTGTCTTGTACATTGCAGAGGCATGCCTCTCCATGATCTCCATCGAATTAGCGACAGAAACCGCAAGTGGCGCAAAATGGAAGAAGACGACAGTGTGTTTGTTTACAGAGAAGGGACACTGGATCAAGCAACATTCAACCTTTATCACTCTACTAATAAGAACATCAGCAACAGCACCGCCAGTAATAGCGGCAGCAGCGTTACCACCAATAATTCTATTGTCATTCGGGAGAAGGGGAACAATACCCCTGTCAGCTGCATTGTTCCGTTGAAAGATATCATAGTGTGAGCCTCTTACTCCATCAACATCAAGGTTGTAACTTGGGAAGAACGTAAACGCAGAAAACCTCACAGTGATATTCATTTTATAAACCCTAAAGTTTTCCTCCCAGTCGCTCCTTTTTTGTGCGTGTGCACCCAATTTTTGGCTTTCTTTTTTATTTGGTTTTAAAAGGTTTAAGGTCTATAGAACAAGTGACTATTTCCTGTTGGGACTGTCGCGTGTAGCAGCGTCTCACAGGGTGAGGCCGACATCCACAGGTCTCGTTCACAATGAGGAGCTGCCATATTCGGCAGCATTGTATACAACATTTCTCTGAAAGACGGAGAGAAGAGGGTCGCACGATCGAAGAATTGTATCTGAGTTGGTCGATGGATAATGGATACCAAACTCAAAAGACAATTCTTTGTTCGTCATGAGCAATGTTTGTGTGTCTAGAGACAGTTCCCGATTGTCCATAGAATAGTGTAAATGTTTCAGCTCCATTGGACTCCAAAATGATAAACCCTAGAGAATCTTGAATTGGGCTTCAATGCAACCGGGCTTATGAAGTTGAGGCCTGCAAAATGATGAAGTACCCAGTTGGGCAATCAACTTGTGGGTTTGACATGGCTTGATGAAACCATTAATAGTAGCAAGTTAGCAACTAATTGGAGAGTAATCTCTATGGTATGGATGCGCTGCAACCGTGATCATCCGTGCTAATAACAAAAAAAAATATATATATATTCACTCAAGAATCAGTATTACTCTCGCACGAGAAGGACTTTTGTGAAATATACTTCTTATAGCATTTTAGTGTAATAATATAATGTCATATATAAGTCTATGTATACATGTCTAATAATACGATGAAAAATAAATTTCTATACGTATTACTTTAGAATCAGACACACATTTCATATAAATTATTCTCGTCACATAAACCCTTCATCTGATTTTGAAAAACAAATTAAAAGAATCTTCGATATTTGTTTTTATCTTTATAAAATACTTGTTTCAAGGCTTTTCGCTATCTGCCACCAACAGAGAGTGTGTAGCCAAATGCGAGCCCAAACTCCCTTTCGAGTCTCAATTCCTCCCAACAGGATCCTCTCCGAATCCTTTTGGTGAGGATCTTAGGGATCCGTGAATCGTGTTTGTTCATCGTACATCATGCGATTAGTATTTGTCAAGTACTATTTGTATTTAATTTTAAATAAAAATATTTAAAATAATTTCTGACCTTATGATGTACGATGAACGGACATGATTGACGGATCTCCGAAATCCTCACAAAGAGGATCCGGGAACGAATTCCTCGGTTAAAAAGCACAAGAAAGTAAGCTAAAGCTTCCATTTTTTCCATTGTAGAGGGTCCAAAACCCTATTGACTCGTTGACCAACATGCCCATCCATCTTTTTCCCTCGCAAAATGTGCCCCCAGTGTGAAATGTGGAAGCCATTGTTTGTCCCCCCCCCCGCGTCCTTTGCTTCATCTCAGCAGGGAGATTCCGGTCATTTTCCACAGTAGAAAAGGAAAGCTTTCTTCTTCTTCGTTCTTCAATCCAGTTGCATCAAAAGGAGAAAAAAGTAAAAGCAACGCATTTGATGTCAAGTACAAGCCATTGCTTCTGGTAGATTATTAGGCCTCGTTTTCTCAAATGGGAGGAACCCTTCAACTTCAAGCTGCTGCATTTCTCCTCCGCGTTTTATTGTGCAGCAACATTGCTGCTGCACGGGATGTAGAAGAATGGAAGACTGCCACTGCAACGTATTCCAAAGAAACTGATGGGTCTATCATTATTGGTATGTCTTCTTGCTTCTGCTGCAAAAAAGTTGCAATCTTTCAAGTTTTGACTGACTAATTATGCTACATGTCAAAGACGAGAAACATGTCGTTGTGGTGGTATTTTGAAAACATTAATATGCGAGAAAGTTAAAATACATGACATTGATTGGCTTGAGATACCGCAGGAATGACATCCCAATTATTGAGTTTATAGGAAATTTTACTCCGTATTTGCAGTTTTTCAAGGTCTTTTGCATCATTACTTGTTCTCTTCTTGCTTCTGGAGCCAAAAAGTTGTTAACTTTTTGAGTTTTGGACTGCATAAGACACCCGAAAACTGTTTTGTGAGATTGCCTGAGCTCCTCCGAAAACTGTTTTTGATTGTGCGTTAATATTGAAATGTAAGTTAATCTAAGTAGTTTCATAACTGCCGAGATGTCTGCCGGGACAAAAGTTCCAAACATTACACCTTGTTTTTTAATTTTGTGCAGAAGGTGCTTGTGGTTATGGGGACCTTCACAGGATCAGCTATGGGAAGCACAGTGCTGGTCTGAGTGGAATTTTGTTCAACAAAGGGAGCACCTGTGGGGCTTGTTATGAGCTGAGATGTGTTGATCACATCTTGTGGTGTCTGCAGGGGAGCCCCTCCGTTATTCTCACTGCTACAGATTTCTGCCCTCCGAATTTTGGCCTCTCAGCAGACTATGGTGGCTGGTGCAATTTCCCCAAAGAACACTTTGAGATGTCTGAGGCAGCATTTGGTGAAATTGCAAAGAAAAAAGCCGATATTGTGCCAGTTCAATATAGGAGGTAATGGAGAAAGTTGGCCAGAATTTTTCAAGGAACTGTTTATTGGTACTCTAAAAAGCGCATCCATGATCCAACAGCACTTATAAAACATAAGCGAAAATTGCACTTTGAGGAGTGCAAGACATCTTTTTTTGGAGTGCCGATAATAGCGCTTTTTTTTTATTTTTTATTTTTTTTTATCCTTGGATCTGATTGTGATACCTGCACTAAGCAAGAAGCTCTGTGACTTTTTGTGTGCAGGGTGAAGTGTGTGAGAAATGGAGGGATAAGATTCATGGTGGGTGGGAGTTCTCACTTCTACCAAGTCCTAATCACCAATGTAGGTTTAGATGGGGAGGTTCTTGCTGTGAAAGTGAAGGGTTCAAGAACCGGGTGGATACCGCTGGCCAGGAACTGGGGACAGAACTGGCAAAGCAATGTCAATCTTAAAGGGCAGCCTCTTTCGTTCGAGGTAACCGTAAGTAGCGGAAGAACAGTCACATCTTACAATGTTGCTCCAGCAAACTGGCAGTTTGGCCAGACATTTGAAGGGAAACAGTTCTGAAACAGAACATACTATGGTCATGTGTGTCTTTGTCACTTCAGTTTTTCTGCTATCCTATATAAAGTTTAGGTTAGTAGTCAAAAAGAAGAGGGAAAATTGTAGGAGAAAGTTGAAAAAATGGGAATATGAGGCCCCAGTTTTGTATTTAGGGATATGATGTTTAGAAAATGTAGTACTTGATGGAACATGTAACTATTTAAAAGTAAAGTTATGCCCCTCGATTCTTCGCTATAATCCGACTTTAATGGTTATATTTGCTTTGTGTGTTAGTTGTTTTCAGAGATGGTTTGCCAATTACCATGTGAGAATGCAGAGCATTAGAAAGAGAAGGAAAATAAGCAGTAAAAGTAAAGCGAAAGGAAATATGAGAAGGGTTGAGAAAATAGAGAGAACAGAGGAGTTTAGAGAAAATTCTGTATTCCATCAAATTTTTCGTAGACTGATCTACACAATGCAAACACTTACAGACATTAGTAATAGGAGGCACTTCCTTCGCCTTAGCCATGGTCTTCACTACGCTTGAACGATCTTCCAGTTCTCTAATTCTCAGTTCAAGCATCCGACTGTTGCACCCTTACTTTTAGTTTGTCTAGCACTTGCTCTGCTACTGTTATCAAATCCGTCCAGCTAACCAAACCGTGCAGCATAAGTCTTATGTTCTTGCTCGGGAAAGTACTTTAATTTGGGAATACCCCGACGTAGGGAACTAAAGCAATCACACCATTTCTAGCATGCAAACCATTTACTAAGAAGTGTTAATGCAATCCATTATACCGATCACAAAGCTGGAAAGTAGGGAGAGAAAATGAGTTTTGGAATGCTTATGTTCCAAGGTACATATTATTCTGTGTGCCAAATCGCAACTCAGAGGGCAAAATGACTGAGAACATGCAAGCAATTGCTTGCTTCTCAAAACAAAGTCCTACAAAGAACTAACTTAATCTCAATTGTAATCACATGAAAGATGATATCAAATTCTTTTTTTTTTTATCCGCAACGGTTAGAGTTTCTTACATATTTCCTTACAGCATATATCATATGATCTATCCAACAGTCACTGATGGCTCACTGCCATTTCTTCATTCTCCTCTAGAAACTCCAGAGATTCCCCGTAAATCTGTTGAGCATCCTGCCTTACAATACCCGAACTACCTGTCTCTCCCATCGACTCTAGACCATTAACGAGTATTCTAAAGGATGACCTATCAGGTTCACACCCCACCTCTTTCATCAAGTAATAACACTCGATTGCAAGTTTAGGGAGGTTAAAACTTATCAATGTTGTCATTAGAGCATTAAATGCCTCAATTTCAGGCTGTAAATTAGTTTCCTTTTTCAAGCACAAGAAAAGAAGTTCAACTTGTTCAAACAATCCATTGCTAGCAGTTACTCTAATCATATCGGAATACAATGAAACCTGTGGCCTGTACCAATGTTCCTTTCGAATGTCTTCAAAGACCTGGCAACAAGCAATGAAGCCTATCAAATCGATCACAAGAGTAACAAATTGAAAACCTGAATCCTTCTTCTAGGAAAATGCAAAACGAAAAGGGTAATGATCAAAACAAGAAATACAATCAGTCATCATGAGCCATGTAAATTAGCAGCAGATGATTCTCTGTGCAAGACGTTCGTTCTTTCCAAAGTACAAAACGCATTGATAAAACCTCATGTCTACTCAATTTTCTACAACTTTAATCCCATTTATTGATAATGTTGATTATTTAGAGTATGGAATGGTCCTCTAGAGCTTCGATTTTGGTTTTAAGTATCAAGCTTTGGGTTTAAAACCTAAACTGAAGCAATTAACCAACAGACAACAAAGGTCTAAGCTCGAACCGACGATTCCACATCCTAAACAATAAACCATGTCAATAAATGGGATCAAAGTTGAAGAAAATTGGTTATCCCAAAACAAAAAAAACAAAAAAAAAAAAAGTTGAAGAAAATTGAGAAGAACTGAGGCATTCTCAACGCGTAGACAGGACATGGAACACAAAGCCGGACGGGTTTACTGGGATTCCATGTAAATATGATCAAAATTAAAGAAAACAAAAAACAAAAAGATTGCTTTTTTGCATCAAAATTATGCAACTGGTTGAAATTGAAGACTACCCAATTCGACATTCAAGGTAAATTCATGGAAAAACGAATCGAAAACAAAAAAGAACTGAAATTAAGACTGCAAGAGCAAACCTTGAGGGCCAAGACGCACTCGTTCTGGCGGAGGAGGTCACGGAGGACAGCCATCATATCGAACTTCAACAACCGCCGGAACTTGGAATCGAAAACTTGGCTTAAAATGCTCTGATCTTTCTGCGCCCTCTTCAACGCCTGCACGGTCTGGATGGCTTCGATGCTGAGGAACCTCCCCTTCTGCAACGGCCTTGGGTTGTTGCTTCTGTCTCTCATTGTAATGGTCGATTTCAGTCTCTTGGGATTTGAGAGTTGCAGGGATGAAGAGTGGGACTCTGGGGAGAGGGTTAGGGTTTTGGGGAGGGAGGTGAAGAGAGTGAGGGATTGAGTTGTGGAAGAAGGTCCCATTTTGTTGGTGTTTTTGGTGGCAAAAACCAGTCTGTTTTGGGAAGACGATGGACAGAGTACTAGACACTAGTGATTAGTGAAGGATAAATGCTAGTGAGCATTGACAGTGCATTCGGCAACAATAGTATGAACGACGACATGTCTTCTCTTCATTATAAGAAAATTGTAATCGGAACCGTTCATTATTGTTATTATTATCTAAATATTATATTCGTAAAAAATCATTTAGTTTGAAGATTGTTTAGTTGTCTATACGTGTTAAACCAATCAATAATTTAGGAAACAAGTAGCATCTTCATCATAAACCGTCTACTTGTTTGATGCATATGAATGGCTAAACGAGTTCCAAAAATCAATTGCCTTCTTTCACGAGGCACCATGACAATTTCAACCAATTAAACATAACTCGGTGGGCTTACTACTTAGATGCTTTCAGCAGTTATCCGCTCCGCACTTGGCTACCCAGCGTTTACCGTGGGTGTTTTGTATCCATTGAGCAAAGACGAGTTGTAATTGTATATAGCGGTATCTGAAAACATATCTTGAGGGCACCCTAAAGCGCTTATAGTATCATTATGAATATACAAACCAAAACTGTGAAAGCCTAAACTTCGTTCCTCTTGTTCCTATTCTTCGATTCCGAATCTGATCTGATCCCGAACTCCCGGAATCAGTCTTTCGGGCTCTTTAGAGCTTTAGAATGCGTCCTCAAAATGGGATGATGCCGGAAATAATTTTTATACAAACATTGATTGGCCGTGTATTAGGAGACGATATATATAGGCCCACGATGCATTGCCGTTCGAAATCAAGATATTGGGACTGGACTTGTCACTCGATTCATAACCTTTCAAACACAACCAATATCTATCCGAACCCCCTTTACTTGTAAGAGTACATCTTGGATCTGCCGATTATGTTATGGCAGGAGCCCCACTCATGGTAACCTGGTCGAATTGGGAGAAGCTGTAGGTATTATTGCGGGTCAATCTATTGGAGAACCGGGCACTCAACTAACATTAAGAACTTTTCATACCGGTGGAGTGTTCACAGAGGGTACTGCAGAACATGTACGAGCCCCTTCTAATGGAAAAATAAAATTCAACGAGGATTTGGTTCATCCCACACGTACACGTCATGGGCACCCTGCTTTTCTATGTTATATAGACTTGTATGTAACTATTGAGAGTGAAAATCTTATACATAACGTGACTATTCCATACCATTGAGTCCTTGGGTTTCCGTAGTGTATAAAATAAAGAAGTGCTTCGAATCATTGCTATTTGACTCGGACCTGTTCTAAAAAAGTCAAGGCATTTTTGCCGGTAGACCATAAGATAGAGCTGGAACCGGAGGCTTGTGCCCGAAAATTGTGCCCTATTCAGTAATACGGGATGCCCTTGCATAACTTCCCGAAGTATTTCCCATACAACCGGCTCTTTTTCCCGAATTTTACTCTTAGCAACTCCTACCCAAAAGATTCCGACATAAGAAGATTCCAACAAACAAACGTTCGTATAGGCCAGTTATCATATAAGTAACCGCAAAAGTAATAACGTGTTGATCTAGTCGCCACCGGGAGCCACAAAGGGCTATCTAAATTGATTCTTTTATGCCGATAAGCTCCAATTGCATGCGCAAAGTTTCCTCTTAATAATCAGTTTTATCTTTTCTCCCACCTTCAGAAAACTAAAGCATAAGTATTCAGTAGAAAGAGTGCAAAAGCACACTCCTCTTGCCTTGATAACAAACCCAACGCTAAAACTCTCTCTTATATAGTCAGTCAGTGGGGAATCGTGGACAATGCCAACAAATAAAGGGCTAAGGGCGAAAATAACCAACCGGCGCTCTCTGCCATTCTTCTATCTATCTCTCTCCACCGACGGGCACCATGCTCAGTTCTACCCACTCTGTTCCAAAGAGTAACTAGAACCAATTCAGTCTGAGGTTATCGACAAAAAAGATTTGTCTAAGTCACTTCCTTTCTTTTTGTCCAAGTTACTTCTTTTTTTGTCCAAGTTTCTTCTCTTTTTGACTCTTTCAACCGCTCAGACATCCATCCTCTTCGCGCTTCGCTCGCCCTATCTATCCGCTCTCCGCCAGCTCCTGCACAAATATCTTCTGCCACCGTTGGTTCTATCTTTAACATGCAAGCCTTTGAGTTTGGTTCATGCTCCCATAGCAATAACATATTTTGGTTCAGGCATTTGTTCATATAATCTTACTAAAGAAGAGCCCAGATTCCAAATGAATGAAAACGTGACTGAATTGGTCCTAGTTAGACTATTCCAATAATAATACTCGTGAAGAAAGAGTAATTTTAGACAAGTTTCCTTTGAAGTGGATACCTGAATGCCAAGTATGGCTCGTAATAATCTATCTTCCGGAGCATACGACGATTCTTTCACCAGAATTTGTAACTTGCTATTCTCTTGCCTAGCAGGCAAAGGTTTACCTTCGTGGATAATAGGACAAACCGGCTATGCACAAAACCGAAATTACTAAAATACCCACATATAAATACTAAAAACCCTTAGCTCATTTCATCGTTTCTGTCATTTGGAAGAGAGGCATGCCGAGAGAGCTCTATGAGCTATGGGTTTCTAGGTTGAGCTTAGATCTCTGAGCTCCGATTTCCAAGAGAGGGAAGTCGAGAGTGAAGGTTCAAAGTGAGTGTTTCACGTTTGTATCAGTGTTCCATCCTTCAAGATATGATTTTTGTATGCATTTTGGTCGGAAAGTTCCATTCTTTCCGGCTAGTGAAACTTCAACAGCCATATTTCCACTACCATCCGGTTCGTCTCTCTCACTCTCTCATCTCTTTTTCTCTCTAACTCAGTCATTGTCTCCATTTCTGCAACTAATTACTTGTTTGTTCAATTAGGTTTGGGTAAATAGCAAAAATGGTCCCTGAGATTTGCATAACTCATCACTTTGGTCCCTAACATTTCAAATCAATCAAAGTGGTCCCTGAGATTGTCCACCATCCATCATTTTGGTCATTCCGTTAAAGACTCCGTTAAGTGTCCCGGAGCTCTTGGCCGGAAGTTTGGGCAATTTTCAAAGCTTCGTAACTCAATCGTTTCTTAACCAAATTCGACCTATAATATATCAAAATGAAGATAGGAAAGTGTAGAATAAGATTATACCTATTTAGAAGCCCAATGGTTGCCAGAGATGGCCGAAAAATACCCTCAAAGTTGACTGGTCCGAGAGAAAACTGGAAAACTCGCCGGAAACTAGGTAAACTTTAAACGTTCATAACTTCTTCAATACTCAACGAAATCAAGTGATTCAAAAACAAAAATCATACTTCTCAATTGGAAAAAGAGAATGGTACCTTTTTAGATGGCTAACTCGCCATGGTTTGGCCGGAAAACGGTTTGAAAGTGGATGTGGACAGAACATTTCGAGCCATTTTCCAGCCAAACCACGACGAGTTAGCCATCTAAAAAGGTACCATTCTCTTCGTCTCATTGATAAGTATGATTTTCGTTTTTGAATCACTTGATTTTGTTGAGTATTGAAGAAGTTATGAACGTTTAAATTTTACCCAATTTCCGGAAAGTTTTCCAATTTTCTCTCGGACCAGTCAACTTTGAGGTTATTTTCCGGTCATCTCTGGCAACCATTGGGCTTCTAAATGGTATAATCTTATTCTACACTTTCCTATCTTCATTTTGATATATTATGGGTCGAATTTGGTTAAGAAACGATTGAGTTACGAAGCTTTGAAAATTGCCCAAACTTCTGGCCAAGAGCTCCGGGACACTTAACGGAGTTTTTAACGGAAGGACCAAAATGATGGATGGTGGACAATCTCAGAGACCACTTTGATTGATTTGAAATGTTAGGGACCAAAGTGATGAGTTATGCAAATCTCAGGGACCATTTTGGCTATTTACCCATTAGGTTTTTTGGATTTGTAAAGATGGGAAGTCGAACAAAAGAGGGATGGGGAAGATAGGACTTGAAATATGTTATGTAAATCTTTATTTGTTTATGGGTTTTGTTATTTTAGATTTTTGGATTTCAATCTTAGAGTTTTGCGTTTTAATTTTTGTTTAGGGTATTAAAGATTCATGGAGTTGTGTTGGTGGATTTGGCTTTGTGGGTTTGCAGAATGCTCAATATTTGTTAATTTTGTTATGAACTTGCAAGTTTTTGTGAATTCTATCTGGAATTGGTGTGTGCTTGAAAATTTTTGTGAATTACAAGTCTTAGTTCAATATGAAAAAAAATTGTACATGATATGCAGACGACATGCAGATGACATGCATATTTGTCATCTCCATATGATTTGCTCTGTGCTTGTATATTTTTATCAGTATATACAAGGTGTTGGATTCTGGGTTTCAAAAGGTCATTCAAACAATGAGTCAAAGCCATAACAATGTGTTTAGAAAGAAAAAAAAAAGAAAAATATGTAAAAACCTCCAAGTTTCGAACCCATGTCTTGTTGAACAAAATAGTTATATATGCCTAGACCAACCCATGCACATCATGATGTAGGGGTTGTGAGATTTGATAACACATCAACCTTTATGTTGGAAATGAAGTAACAACATTTGGAAGCATCGTTCAAATTGGGGTACAAAAAAGTAGTGGCGAGGATTCTTACAACTTTTGAAGGCCACATGCATCACATCCTCACCACATAAACACCTTAAACATATTCCCTATTTTACCCAACTGATTTCATCCTCATCATGGTAGACTTGTGTATAATTATGTTTCTCACACATAGTTGCAATAACCATTAACCCCCTAAAGAATTAGACTTCTCAGATAGCCAAAACAATTGAGAACACAAACATGTCCAAGTTCCCACATGAAACTAAGGGCTTTAACGCGGAGTTCCTCGGGTGGTACAACATGGAATCTTCTCTACTTCCGGGGTTGCTGAAGGCAAATTCTACGTCATTGTTTAACTTTGTGGACTCGGAGACGCGTTGAAAAGTATAAATTAGGTCTGCGGGATACTCGACTATAAGACGGTTGTCGCCGAGTATTGGAACCACAAGCTAATAAAGGCAGAAAAAAAGCTTGTGGACCTCAATGGTGAAGCCAACGAAGCGCTCTACTATGTAAGCAAGCAGAAAACGAAGGCT